CCTCCTCAGCTCCCGGTTTCTCTCGCAACATCTTTCCGCCTCATTTTGGCTTTGGTGCTGAGCGTTCCCACTTTCCTTTTTTTTTTTTGTTCTTCCTAATCCCCCACATACTGACTTCTGCTCCACTTGATTGAGACGGATGAGCGCGATAACACATCGTGGAAAAAGAAGAAGAACATAAATAATCAAAGCGAAACAAAACGAACAACGGAAGAGACGCAAAGAATTGAGTGCACGAACCGTCGACGGAAGGAGGAATTGTTATGAGCGCACTTGGAAGCGATTAGCGCTAACAATACCCGGCATTAGTCCGCCGCGCCGGGCGAGTGCGTAAACACATGGGCTGCGAAAAGGCAGATAGCGCTGCTTGAGCTCCTGCGGCGGTTGCGGCTTAATTAGAGAGGCGCCAGCGCCGCCAGCGGAGACGACGCTCGAGACAGTGTATAACACTTCCTTCTCCATCCTCTTCCACCATTTCGCCTGGTGCGCTATCGAGGGCCATGCTGCATGTAGAAAGTTGTGTGCACCACCACCACGCTGGTAATACAGCGATGGTTCTAACGAGGACTGCCTAAATCTAACGACTATGGACCGATTTTCGCAGAAGCATAGACTGCTCAATCCTGTTGACGGCAAGAATAACAGTTGCGATTTCAAGCAGCTGACGCCGATGTTGCTAGCTTTCAACACGTCAGCACACGTGTTAGCCTGAAGAGTGGGAAAAGTGTGACATGATGCATCAGCCGTGCGCAGCGTACGGAGGTGTAAGCGTAATCAATCTTCGTCCAATGACATTGCGCCACGCACTGGCATCTCTCTATTCTTTGGCCTTTGCTGGACGTCATGCAGTATAACTCTGGTACCTGCCGAGCTCAGGTGCGTGGCCGATTTCGCTCCGGATAATTCAAAGCGTTTGTCTAAATTTGCAAATTTTAGGTTACAGCCATGTAGTGAATGATTAATCGTAATTCTTGAAATCAGGAGTAGAAGGGGGAGGCTGGCTGCATTCATCTTTGCATTGATCGTATACTGCAAGGATGGCAAGAAACCCTGCTAGCAGGAACCTCACCGCCATTGTTCAGAGTACGGTGCCTTGTTCTAAGCGACGCACACCGTATCTCATCCCGCAGAAACTACACTTCGGCGGCACTGTCGAGAATTAGTGAACGCGAGTTATGGCATAACCATCGGCGGGCTCCGAAGATAAGTGGTGGCTGCACGGCCGCACGCGCGGTTTAGTGTATGGCTCGCTCCAAATAGTAGTACCGTGACAGACTCGCTTGCAGATCAGCCGTCCCATCGGCGCTTGTTGAACGGCTCTTGCGGTCCATCGCTAGGCCATGGGCTGCGGTTGCCTGTTTCTGCCAGGCTGAGCGGAAAGTCCGATAACCCGCATCAATAGGCAGCATGCCGCGCGCGCCTTTCCCCAATCTCCCATCGACGCCCGTTGCGCACGTCAGCTCACTTTCAGCCCCTTGGTCGAGGCGGGCGTGCTTTCGAAAGTGATGGTGGTATAAACTGCGTTTAAGTATGAGCGCCGTGTTTAGAAGCGCTCTGAATAAGCGGCACGCGCCCGACTAGGCCTCACTGCATTCCCCGTGAGACTGCACCGGTTCGGCAACGGAGATTCGCAGAGTAATTATTCAAGCATGCCTTTATCTTTCCATCCTCCAAAGATTGAGAGAGTGCGAGCAACGAGAGCACTGGGTGGAGTGTTGCAGTACCTGATAAGGGATAACGTGGTAGTGTTGATTTCTGCTCTAATCAAAGGCAGCTTTTAGCGCAACAGTAAAGCGCTATTCCTATACCTCAAGTCCACGCGTATTTACGCACAGACGCACAATTACTTGCAAACTCACTCACTCACTCACTAACTCACTCACTAACTCACTGACTCGCTCACTGCGGCATGGGTCGGCTGCAGAAATAAAGAATTCATTCCAACTATTTTGCCTATTTTAACCTGGCTTTTCCGGTCGCACCTCTATAGCAAAATGACGCAAAAAAAATTTGGCAGATCCCACATACAGTGGGAATCGATGATATGCGAAGCGCGAATGAGAAATGTTGATATGTCACTTTAAGATTACCACAACCTTACGAGGTGGAGGTATATTATGCCGTACATGATTTCCGTGTCATTATTATCTTGATTGAATGTTTCATTTATCTCCGTCGTCTATTCACGTCACGTGATGCCAAATTTAGTATATGTCGAGCTAGCGAAACGGCCGCGAGCACCCTGTGAACGTGGTATGTGTTTATGTTCTTACATGACACGCGTGTCATGATTATCGTGTTTGCACCAGTTATGCCTTCGTCATTCATTGACGTCACGTAACACCGAATTCGGTACATGTGAGGCTAGCAAAACGGCCGCGAGCGCATCATGAAGGGTCCAATATATTCCAATGAAGCGTTGACGCGAACGCATGCTGGGCACAGCGACGCTATACGTTAGCAAAACGCGAGTACTCTATAGTCTCACGCCAAGCGCGACCGGCGTCCGTCAGCGCGAACCGACGGCAACCGGCATGAAACGCAACATGCTGCATTTCGTGCCGATGCGTCACCGAGACAGAACTGCGTGTGCCTCTTTTCGTGACGGAGGGACGCTGGACGCGCTGAAACGCGCATGCGTCAAAGCGACGCAACACGGTGTGCGCCTGCGAGTATATGACAGGACCGGCGCCTGGCGTGGCAACGCCGGCGTGACGCGACGAAATGAACGCCGACGAGCACGCGCACCGCGTCCCGTCTAAATGTATTGGCGCTTTGGCTGTGGCATGTAGTCATGTTCCCACATCACACGCATCTCATGATTATCATGTTTGCACCAGCCACATACCTTCGTTATCTACTGGCGTCACTTAGTACCAAATTTGGCATATGTGAAGCAAGCAAAACGGCCGCGATCGCATCATCAGTGTGGCATGTAGTCGTGTTGTTACATGACACGCATGTCGTCACATGACACGCATGACACGCATGACACGATGTTTCGATGTGTCATTCACTTATGTCGTCCATTTGCGTCACGTAATACCGAGTTTGGTAGATGTGAAGCTAGCGAAACGGCCGCGAGCGCATCATGAGCTTAGCATGTATTCATGTTGTTACATGACATGCATCTCATGATTATCATGTTTGCCCCAATCACATACCTTCGTCATCCATTCATGTACTGCAATGCCAAATTTGGTATATGTGAGGCTAGCTAAATGGCTGCGAGTGCATCATAAGCGTGGCATGTAGTCATGTTGTCACTTGAGACGCATGTCATAATTCTCATGTTAGGGTCTGTCGCTTGTGTTCGCCATGCAATCATGTGATACCACACCAGTTTTGCAACATGCCATGTAGACGAAATCGCTGCAAGAGCTGGAGCACCATCATATGTAACTCAAAATATTCATGACATACATGTCATGATTTTCATGTTATGACTAGAGAAATATGCTCCTCATACCGTCCTGTTATGCCATACCAAGTTTGGTATCGATAACATTAGCGAAACGGCCAGGAGAGCTAAAAGTCGTAGATAGATAGATAGATAGATAGATAGATAGATAGATAGATAGATAGATAGATAGATAGATAGATAGATAGATAGATAGATAGATAGATAGATAGATAGATAGATAGATAGATAGATAGATAGATAGATAGATAGATAGATAGATAGATAGATAGATAGATAGATAGATAGATAGATAGATAGATAGATAGATAGATAGATAGATAGATAGATAGATAGATAGATAGATAGATACGCTTAAAGTCGCCGAAGTTCACTAAAGAATGCTTAGCATTTAAAAGGAACAGCGATTCACAACACACACACACAGAGAGAGACAGAGAGAGAGAGAGAATAATTTTATTTAAAATAAAAGAGCCCCAGTCCGGGTCTACTAAAAAAAACGACCTATCCATCGGACAGGCCTAGAAGTTGCAAATGCTGGAGCAGTGTCTTCATGATGTCCAGGGAGGAGTCCGCCAGCCACTCCTCCAGGGTCGCAGGTCTTAGGTTTATGGGTATGTGCTTGAGGCTCTTGCCCAAGGCTGCGCGACCACCCGGACAATCCCACAGAACGTGAGCACACCACATGCCATGCAAGCAGGAGACCCGTCTTTTCCTTGTATGTAGTGTTGAATGTGTGGTGTCATGAGAGAGTGAGTTTGGGCACGCCTTATCAGGTATGCCTCGCGTCTCGTCATGAAATGCGGAGGATCGGGATAAACCCTGCGATTGTTGCACAACACACAAAATGATGTATTGAAATGCCCGAACATCTACAGTGCTTTGTACACAACCGCAACCACATTATTTTTGGGTGAGCTTCTGTTGAAGTTGAAGCATAAATGAAATATGTCAGTTGATTACACGTATAAGCAATATAAAGGCAATGCGGCGTGCTGTGCAGCTCGTAACCCTTTCTGCAAGCTGATTTTCTGTAAGCCCATATTCAGCCCAGAAGGCGTTCAAAGCTTTGCTACGCTTTTTGCGGACAACTGGCGTCAGAGACAGACTTTAATGTCTTATTCTCTTTGATATTGCCTTTTCTCTTTCGCTATTTTTGGTATTCTCTCTCTCTGCCTCTCTTTGCAACATTTATATCATCTTTTATTCCCCTCACCCCATTCTCCAGCACAGGGTAGCCAGCCGGTATAAGAAGTGGCTAACCTCCCTATCCTTCCGCTTAATCTTTCCTCCTCCTCCTTCTCCTCCCTATTTTGAGTCTCAAATAAATAGCTACTTCGATACACCAGTGGACACGCACTACAGTGTGTAGTGTTAATTAGTCCCACCAGTATTACATTTATTTCATGTAACCCAACAAAATTAATAACGCGATGCGCGGTATGTCTCGTAATACGCGTCTGTATGGCGGCTTTGTCACAATGCATTCTTTTCCTGAGGCAATTCAGTGCAGTGTACGCGTTCCTTCACAAACATCGCAGGCGTATTCGAAATCGTGAAGAAAGCGCAGAACACGAAGTACAGTGGTGCATTTATTTTTAGTTACGTATGCGGCTGGTTACAAGTTCCTTGTTCTTATGCAGCACTCGATAGCCCAGGAAGGCTCGAGCACAGGTCAGTTGAAGCTCGGCAGTGTCGTTCGGAAGGTGTGAGAAAAAGCATGCCATCATCGCAGGAGCACAGCTGGTAGACACGCATGTCTGCAGAGCGAACAGCTGGATCAGCCACTTCAAGGTCTTTGATCTCCAGTCGGCTGCAGTCCACGACGATCTGAAATGAAACGTGCCACAATCATCAGCCCGACTGTGCCTTGTTCAGGGCAGACGTGCCTCCCATGTAACGCCCTTTAAACGGTCCCTAAAGCACATCGAGCTCAAAGGTGAGAGAACAGTTTCTCGCCTACACAACTTTTCCTGCAAGCGCTATGTCCTCCTCACCACTTAATTCTTCACAAAACACGTGCTATATGAGCACTAAGCGTTGAAACAGTCAGGACATCGCGCTTTTTGACTACACGCTGCTTTCCTGTTACACAGTCGCAAATGCAGAGCGAGACAAGGCACAAAGGCCATGCGACTGCCCGAAAAAGCAGGTTAGGTGACAGTTAATTTCACAACAGATAGCTTGTATATTGGCCAATCGAAAGCTTCCTTCGTCTTGACTTCTCGTGAATAAACTGCTCGCGTCACGAATTTTGCCTCAAAGACGGTAAACGCCAGGAGACAATAACACACCCGTTCTTTGTATATTGAGAGGTGGTTAAGGGGCTCTAAAACGTGGTCCTGTGCACTGTGTCTATATTATCTCGGCGAAATTCTTGATCTCATCTGACCATCTAACTTTCAGCTTTCCCCATGTGAGCTTGCCTCCTCTTGCAAACCAGTCTGTTGGTCTTAATGACGATTGGTTGTTCTGCCTTCGCGCTTCAGTGTACATGACCAGGGCATATATCGCACAAATATAAGCTAAAAAACGTTCGACACCGAACTATGATGACGAAAGGTCTTCAAGGTATGACACACACACACACACACACACACACACACACACACACACACACACACACACACACACACACACACACACACACACACACACGCACACACACACACACACACACACACACACACACACACACACACACACACACACACACTGATGTTTTATGTGCAATTTATACCTGTCCTCTCCTGGTGTGCAAATGGATGTCTTGCAGAGATGTAACTAATGTGTCACCGGCACGGGCAATCATGGAAACCTCTTCCTCTCCGTGGACACTTATTCGCTTTGTTGGAGATTCGACCCTTGGAAAGAAAAATAACGATAAGTCTTGTTATTCGCTCCCGTCCTTTGCTGTTTTTCTCGTACTGAAAGACATCTTTCGCTGCCTGCACCGCAATTCGTCGATGTGATGTACAGGTAACATCCCAAAGTTATAGAAGTTTGTCATATTTGCTATTTTACATCCCCCGAACGGAAGCGGTTTCACTGTCACGAAGATATTAGGGACATGAGCAGTTCCGAAACGCAGCAAAAGCGCTGCTCCGTTTTCTTAAGAATACCGGACTGACTTACCATCTGTGACATCAAGCGCCAGACTGGTAAGTCGGCCGAAATTGTGACCTTTCTGTTCCCCTCTATATCCAACCTCTCTCATCCTTCCCCAGGCGAGGGTAGTCTACAGGCCCAGCCCTGCTTAACCTCACTACTTTTCTTTTACACTCATTCTCTCTCGCTCTCAATTCACTGTAAAAAATCTTCATAATATGCTCCACGCAGTTTGCGAGGAGGTGTCATATAAGCACATAATACTTTATGTCGGGAATTCACCAGCAGTTCAGATTCATCAATACTTGTCATTATTCTATTTTAAGAGCTGCATCGTTGGAGTTATGAAAGCTGCCATTTATTTTAGTGGATCAGCATAACACTGGTATTTGACAAAAAAAAATGCGGCCCCATGGCCTAATTATAGACGTTAATATTAGTAGCATGCGTAGCCAAAACCTTCCTTGTGTAGAGCGGTTGACAGTATGACCACTGGTTGTCCACGAGAATCTAGCAGCAAGTATACGACAAAACGCAGACCAAGAGTTTTTATGAACATTACTCAATTATGAACATTGTATTCAAGTCATTGTGAATTATGAACATTGTATTCAAGTCAGCCTTATCTCTCAGCAGGCCGGACTGGAGCTGCAGAGGGTCAGGCGGAGTTCAAAACCATTATTGTTAATCTTCTGCAGCAGAACAATGCCCCTTGTCAATCCCCAACTAAGACCCATGATTATTTCGGGTGTGCCTTTGAGCAGATCAATCAGTTAGACTCGAAGTAAGACGTTCTCATTAGGCATCGTACATTGTAGTCAAGGTTGCTGTGAAACTCGAGGCATATGCGACTGGGAAATATGTTAACGTCTTGCGTAAACTTGTCATTCCGATTTTATGTGAGGCCACTGCAAGCTGATGCTATAACGGCTTTTTTTTACGATCCCCTCCAATTATCTCTAAAACAATCATGCTTCATTATTTTGAGTTAAACTTACACGCTGCGCCCCACCGTGGTGGTCTAGGAAATAAGGTATTCGACTGCTAACAAGCAGGTCACGGGATCGAATCACGGCTGCGGCGGCTGCATTTCCAATGGAGCGAGAAATGTTGTAGGCCCGTGTTCTCAGATTTGGGTGCGCGTTAAAGAACCCCAGGTGGTCGAAATTTTCGGAGCCCTCGACCACGGCATTTCTCATAATTATGTGGTGGTTGTGGGACGTTAAACCCCGCAAATCAAATTTACACGCCACACTTTCCTTATATATATATATATATATATATATATATATATATAGAGAGAGAGAGAGAGAGAGAGAGAGAGAGAGAGAAAGAGAGAGAGTGAGAGAGGGGGGGGGGGGGGGCGCTCGGTGCTTTCACAACTATTGTCCAATGAGCGAGCTACAAGTAATCTCCCCTGGACTTGTGATTTCTTACGGTTTTGAACAGGTCCAAAATAGTTTTTATTCCATCGTTGATTAGAACGGGATTATGCAATTGTATATGATCGCTACAATCTCTTATTTGAAGTGTAGCCATTGCAACAGAAACTACAAGCACACAGATTTTATAGAAAGTGCTTACCCCTATTTTGTTCCTAATACAAACTTCTCTGGTGCATTATATTGACTGCAGACATTCCTTTAGAGCATAAGCGCACTACATATCTGAGACGTATACACTGCTCTATTCAAATAGGTACAGGAGCCTAACTCCAACGATAGCTTTTGATAGTCCGAAAAAAAAGTATAGCAGCAAAAAAAAAAAAACAGGCAAAAAGTCGTTAGGTAGACTGTAGTGTGATATCAGCACTAACCTTTACTCTTCATAATTGAACAATTCTACTGTTTTGGGGTGTTAAGTGAACTCACTTGAGGTCTCTGGCAGATCCACCTCTGACGACTTCGGCATGCAAAGATCCGTCGAGTTGAAATCCAGCCTTCGCTGCAAAGTTCAGAGTGAATATGCAGCAAAACACATAAGCACCTTTTGTTTTGAAAATCGCGTGCTAATGCGTTTTTGTTATTGACAATCATGCAATGGGAAACGGAAAGTAAAAATATATGAGAACATAATAATGCTCATTATGTTCTATTGAAATGCGAAAACAATAACGAAAATGGAAACTAACACATACTAAAAGACTACTTGTTGTCAGTGGACAAACCTGTAACTTTTACAGAACGCTTGCGGTTCTTTACCGACTAAGCTACCATAAAGCGTGCGATATTCTTTCATGGGCGTGCGTGTATGCGTGGATATAGCCTCTATAGGCACTGGCTTACACTAAGCGGCACTATTTCTACATCACAGGAATGTCCAAGAAAGTGAACTACGAAATGGAAATGCCTCGAATATCTTGACGACACAAACACAAAGGACGATACAATTTTTTTTCGAGAGTGGAAGAATGGAGGTGAGGTGTTAAAACGTCCGGACCCATGCCACCTCTTCTAGTTTGGCAGCTCACGGATGTACGTAGCGCAGTACATTCACTGTGCCATTTCTTTTTTGTTTGTTTGGGTCTGTTATGCCCCGCCGCGGTGGTCTACAGGCTAAGGTACTCGGCTGCTGATCCGCAGGTCACGGGATCAAATCCCGGCTGCGGCGACTGAATTTCCGATGTAGGCGGAAATGCTGTAGGCCCGTGTGCTCATATTTGGGTGCACCTTAAAGATAATACTCTATCTCTCTCATAATCATATCGTGGTTTTGGGACGTTAAACCCTACATATCAATCATCAAATCATGTTTACGTCTGCTATGACGAACAGGCGTTATAATGCATGTTGCAGAAATCGCGATTCATAGCTGTAACAAGGCATAACAGGGCTATTCACGAAGGCATGGAAAAATAAAACAGCTCGGCTGGGCGGAAATTATCTTTCGTGGCACACCACTTCGAGCTGCCCCACGAAAAAAGGAAAGAGAACGAGTGAAGGGGTCAAAATGGACACATAAAAATGTCGAAAACGAAGAAGATAAGTGAAACAGCAATCAAACATATTGTGCGTATCGATGCTGCGTAGCGCTCCTCAGCTAGCTCGTCTTTTCAAGGGTGGGAACGTGTCGCTTATTATTTCAATTTCTTCTTTGCTCAGCTGCAAAGCTGGAGTGCTTACGCATGCACCGATTTCTCAAGGTGCCATGTTATGGGCCTCAAGTATTTCCCTTTTCTGTTGGTTTTTTACAGTACACTTATAGCAGTACAATTATAGCTTATCTCTTTAATTAAAACAGCTTCTCCCCACCCGCATGCTGAAGCAATGTTACGTCTCTGCTGGTATACTCACTAGAAATTCTGAGATTGTCTGTCGCCACGACAACTTCAGATGGGTCGCTTCGGAATAAAACATTGTCTTGCGGATTTCTCACCAAAAAGTGGCTACCACGTGATTCCAGGACTCCAGAACCTGCAACATAGAAGAGGAGTGCGTCACCAGTACCATGTGAAAAATGCTAGTGAGAGGGAGAGAGATAGACAAAGAAAGTTACGGGTTAGTTAGACTGCGCACAGCTTGCGAGGGAGAGGGAGACTTGCAGACAAGAAATAAAAAGAAAATTGGTTGGAAAGAAAAAAGGTGACACGCGCTCTGGTAGAGAATGAGGTTTACGTCATGGTTATGTATCGAATGAGAAGAACAGGCCCCATCAAAAGTAACTAAAAAACGATGTTCAGCGATACGCGGCGACTGCCACGCATGCGCAAAGTGCCCGTGCACTTTCGCTCTTTAGAAGGGCACGTCGGGGCTTACCAAGAGTCAGACTGTTGTGATAGCGACCCTGTCGGTTCATCGACCGCAGCTTGATGTCGCCAGCCGACTCTATTATCAGGCCTTTTTCCTGCAAAACGAACGACCACTTCAGTTAGCCAGATTTCTCTTGTTTGTAAAGGAGCTGTGTAACCTACAATAGATCTTTATTGACCTTTAAAACTATTACTCTTCTGTTAGTCCAGCTGTGCTGACAGATGGGTAAGACTGTACATTGTATTGCTGCTATTTGTCATTGACAAGAAATCCATCCAGTCTATTTCAGTTACCGCCAGGCGAGTGCCTTTTTTGTCTCGATAGGAGGGAGCGTATTCAGCTACAGCAAAACATGCATACTTTATTGAAGTTCAAATGAGAAATATTTTGAGAGAGTCAAGTGATATCTACAGTTGCGCCACTTAAAATGTTACGTTTGGGGAGTCACTGCATATAGATAATTTATGTAGTTGGCCGTTTTGTCATTATTTCCTTCTTTCTTTTTGAGAATAATTTAGTGATAGCAGTATTTAGCTAGCTGCAGGAACACACCTCGTTTCCTGTAAAATAGCTAGCCTACATCGTAATAGCTGTCAGTATTTTGAAAACACAGACATGCAGACACACAAAAAGAAACAGCTGAACTGCACGTACCTGAGCATTATGCTGAATTCGTTTCATAGTTAAGACATCGACAAACTGGCCGTCTCCACTAACTTTTAAGCCGTTTGTTGTCAAAGTCAAAACGCCTGGTCCATCCTGCACGAATGAACACAAGCGCGTTAAGATTTAATAAATGCGCACATCTTGCAAATACTAAAACACCACCGCATGTAACTGACGAAAATTTAGTTGATCGACTATCACCCATCGAGCACGCCCATGTGACAATTCCGAATAGTTTACTATTTTACTGAATGAATAATAATATAGCATTCCTTACCGAGCTGAGGTCTAGGACCTTTATGGTCCACATCAACAGCGTTGCGTTCAGTGACGCAATGATGACGGTAGTCGCCACGAGCAAGTAGAGCATTTTCTTGCGCCATCCGCTCAGCAGTTCGGTGTCTCCGTACGGCGGTCTCACATGCACGCTCATGGTCCCGTTGCGAGAAACTGTGGTGGATGCCATCACGGTGGCTCCAGTGGCCCAGCGATTGAGACCAGGCTTTATTTTTACGGCTCCTCGCTACGTCATTTCCCCATGTGACCTATAGGGGACACAAGTAAGAAGAAGCAAGTAAATGTGTTGGTTTTGCGCGTTCAGTTAGGAAGACAACGGAAATGAACATTAGCAGCAAAAAAAAAAAAATGCAACACCCGTTACGCGGCAATAAGAGGGAAATCAAGGAAGTGTTGGGAATTCTCATTATAAATTGCTGCTCTGTAGTATGCTTACAAAAATACGCTATTAACTCCTGACGTAAGCAATGGGAGCATGATGGTGATGAGTGTGACTGGTGGGGATAAGTGAGGCTTATATGTAAGAAGAAAATATCACAACAATCTGCGACCACTAAATTGTAGAGATGGCTTTTTGTATAATCGTGTTCATCTCAATATTTTTTTTTCATGACGAAGTGCTTGAGAACCAAGGTAGCTTCTAATAAACAGTAATAAGAGAACAGCCACAGTAATAAAAAGTATCCATTCTTGTTAACTTGCCTCAAGCTGTGGGGCAGAAATATAATTTCTGTGCTAGCTATTAAACGATAAAATCAAAATTTATTATTAGTTATTGCTTTATATGCTAAAAAACTTTCTCACTCGTGTGATTTTAATTAAATAAACGAGACTTCAAAAACATATTATGAAGTAAGCCTCAGGAATACGACTGCGCGAACTCATTGGCAAAACTCTACATTTAGTAGATTATTAAAAATTGCGCAGTGTTGACTTAAGGTTGCTCTTCTTTCAACACATAATGTATTGCTGAACCACCCATGACTTTTTTATGATGTTTCTAATGATTACGGTCTCGGTAAATATCGGAACTTTTTGTATGTGCGAATGTTAATCTCACAAAGCATCTCAATAGTACAGCAATGATTTTTTAAAAGCACAACATCTGCTAATAAGTAGAGTCAGAAAAGGTGGAACTCACTTGTTAGGAAGCGGGCCTCCATCTGAACTTCGATCAATCGCGCTGCCAAGCACTCGGTGATCCATGGATGTTTGCAGACAGGACACCGGGCAATAAAAAGAACTCCGGGTGTTGCGTGTGTGTAATATATGATAAATATAACAAGCAAATTATCTTTTTGTTCACTTTTTTGTACTGGGGCATAAATAGTTACTACAAATCTAGGTGGTTTTAGTAGGCTCAGTGGAGGCTTGAGTTGCGACACCGCGCATTGCCGATTGAACACAGAGCCATCTTGTGTCGCTCGGTGCAGAACAGAGTACATATGCCCGATGAGCTCGGCAGATGTCGACACACACACACACCATTCTCAGTCGGACTTCCCTCGCTATTTAGCCTCTTTGTTTAGTTGTAAGCAATGCCGGGATTCTTAGAACATCTTCGAAGAGATATGTTTCATATCGGTGTTTATTACCATAACGTCGTAGTCATTTCGTGGCTGCTCAGGTAGAAAAGGAAGCTACAGCAAACGTTTCATTAGAAAACTAATAGCTTCTTGCGAGGATGGCTTCCAGGCGTGTAACCAAATTTTTAATTTCGCATGTGTGTATATACTTATACACGTTAAAATACACGCACGAGCATGAATAAAGAATGCTCTGACCGCTCCCCCGCCTTCTCCTTCTACCCTCGAAGATATTGCTGACGTCGCCCCTGGAAGCCCTATTGGTTTATTCCGTTATTCCAAATGATATTGATCATTCCGAAGTACAGCCCCTCAATTTTACTCCTTCCTTTTCTGTATTAATGTACGCTTTTATGATGAAAAATAGTTGGAAAATTTATTTACGATAACTAGTATACCCGCATGGTAAAATAGAACAATATAGATCGATCGGTTAATATCAATAAGTACTCGTAGTTATGAATGGCCCTCCGATATTTAAAATAAATTTTAAACAAGGGCATGCTGTGACAATGACATACCTCCCTTTTTTTTCTTGCCCTCGTGCGAAGTGTAAACTGCTAGCCCTATTTGTAAATAACAACCATGTGTCAAATATTAGAGTTCTCCTTCTTCATTTGGGCCCTTTTAAGACCCGCCCTCTTTCTTCCAAACTAACATGCATGTAATATATCGTCCTAGATTAAGATGGTTATGTAGGCTACACATGTTAGCGAAAATATGTGGACCACTGCCGTCAGCATACTTTTGCAGTCTGCGTCCTCTAGTGACGAGCCGTCTGCTGTCAAAACAATTTCCCTGGAATTCCGTTAGATCAATGCTTCCAGCAGAAACTCCGTCAGAGCAACGCTCTCGGACCAGACATTTCGCCGTCAGAGTGTGCAGACAGTGACTTCGGCACGCGTTACCATTGTCCGCATACTTTTGAACAGGTGTGTATCTTGATTTTGTTCGCCAGAATATCACTGAAACTTTCAAACAATCGTCAGTGGCTTCACTTATTTCGACTCTCTATCTTAATAAGTATATATGATGTTATGGTGACAGTTCAACAATGTCTGCCAGGTGAGTCCCCGTGTACCAAGAAATCGACGGACGGAAGTATTCCACAGTGTTCGTGCCAGAGCAGGTACGGGCTGTTCAAGCCTACAAGCCTCGATCAAGACAGTGACCTAGTTTTGGTATCCTACCTCAAGTGCGGGAACAATTGGTTGGAGCAGATCATCGAGCTCATTTTGCACAGGTAAATGCAGATTGCCAGGTAAGTGCACCGTGGCAGAAAACATTATTCATGAGAGACCAAGGGCCTTTTACGTTTCCAACGCCTTTAGTGTACTACGCCACATTTCTAACACGAAATAACCTTTAAGCCACACAATCCTCTCAACGTTTCTCACTCGGTGACATTGCGCCCTGTCTGTCTGGTATAACGTGGAGTGTATCCAGTGCTTCCGCACATATTTTATATTGTTTGTTTCGAAAGAGAAGTTTCGGTCAGGTAATTTTTAAGAAAGCGTTTCTCTGAAACAGTGATTTAGAATAAACGGTAGTCTTTTTGAAAGCCTTGTCAATAGTAACAAGCAAAATCTATGGCACCTTTTATTTCGTATTATATGTTTCTTTAAGGCGCCCAGCCATACTTTTTCAGCATGTTCAGGAAACACAGCCGATTGGCTGTCGAGGCTCCTAAGAACAAGTGAGCTAAACATTATAGTGTACCGCGCAGCGTGGAACTAAATTATTGTCATTAGCTAGGACTCGTTTCCTCTTCTTTCTACAATTGATGCCGTACACCCGAGTGGCCACGCCATTCACTCGAATTCAAGGCTATTGGATGGTCTGAAGAAATAGTTAACTGGTGGGCTGGTGACGTGTATAGTTGGTGACGTGTATATTTACGCTATACCGCCGCAGGAGGCCATCACGTGCCCGCGCACCCACTGATGACCACACTGAAAGTTCAGTATCACTTTGGCGAAAAAAACAAAAACGAAGTATTGCCGCATTGGCGATTCGATGAGTGCGAAAGCGAGACATTTGTTTGTCAAGGGAAGAGTGGCAAGCAGTCAGAAACGTGTCACTAAAGTTTTAAGGGCACACGGCAATGACACAAACAAGAAGAGCGAGAAATAACAACGTAAGCAGGTCGACACTTCACGCGCTGCTCAAAGTACATGTGAAACATACACGCAGGTATACACAGGATGAGCACGAACCGACAAAGGTCCCAGTTGTTACTTCCCTGTGTTGGAACAGCCCGTTCCTTTTCAAAATCCAACATGCGGAGTGAGAGAAGTCACATTCAGGCGCTCTGTATTCATCATCATCATTCTGACTATACGCCTACTGCAGAGCAAAGGCCTCGCTCATTTTCCGCCAATCAACCCGGTCTTGTGCTTTCTGCTTGCCCGTTATATATGCGAATTCATTAATCTCATCAGTCCACCTGTCTTTCTGTCTCCCCCTCGTACGTTTGCCTTCTCTGGGAATCAAGTCAGTTACCCTTAATGACCAGCGGTTATCCTGCCTATATGCGCTACGTGCCCATGTCCATTTCTTCTTCTAGATTTCAGCTCATCATTATTGTCATCAGCCTGACTACGCCCACTGCAGGGCAAAGACCTCTCCCATGATCCGCCAATCAACCCGGTGTTGCGCTTTCAGCTGCCACGTTTTAACTGTGAACTTTTTATTTTCATCGCTTCAACCTAACTTTATGTCTCCCCTTCGTGCGTTTGCCTTCTCTGAGAATCCAGTCAGTTACCCTTAACCATCATCGGTTATCCTGCCTATGCGCTATGTGCCCTGGCCATGTTCATTTCTTTTCGATTTCAACTCATCATCATCATCATCATTATCAGCCTGACTACGCTCACTGCAGGGCAATGACCTCTCCCATGATCCGCCAATCAACCGGCTCTTGTGCTTTTTGTTGCCACGTTAAAACTGCGAACTTTTTAATCTAATCAGCCCACCTAGCTTTCTCGCACATTTGCCTTCTCTGTGAATCCGTTCAGTTACCTTTAACGAACCGCGCATATTCTGCCCACGTGCTACCTGCTGGGCCTACGTCTATTTGCTCTTCTTGATTTTAACTATGATATCCTTAACCACAATTTGTTCCCTGACCAGTTATGCTGTCTTCTTATCTCTTAAAGTTACACATATCAGTCCCTTTCAATCACTCATTGCGGCGTCCTCAATTTAAGCTGAACCCTCTTTGTGAGTCTCCAGATTTCTGCTCCGTAGGGTAAGTACCGGCAAGATGCAACTGTTATATACCTTCCTCTTGAGGGTAAGTGACAAATTACCATTCATGATTTGGGAATGCTTGCCGAATGTGATCCACCCCATTCTTACTCTTCTAGTTATTTCACTCTCATGGTTTGGCTCCATGGTCACTGCCTGTCCGAAGTGGACATATTTCTTTAGAACTTCCAACGTTTCTCAAACTATCCCAAAGTGCTGTTTTTTTGCCGAGACTGTTGCACATTATTTCAGTTTTAAGTATATTAATTTTTAGACCGACTCCTCTGCTTTCCGTGTCCAGTTCAGTAATCATGAGCTGTAATTCGTCTCCTGAGCTGCTCATCAAGGCAAGGTGACGAGCGATTCACAAGTTACTAAGATACTATTTATTAACTCTTATCCCAAAC